TTAAAAGCCATGGTTGCCCACGGTCTCCCACAACGGCTCGCCGAGCCACCACTTGGGCTCGTGACTCTTCATGGTGAAGGACTCGCCGGTGTGCGGATCAACAAAATGGTTGTTGATTATGCCGTGATAAGGAGGGTAAAGACCGGTGACTATGGAGTAGTGATTCGGGAAAGTTAAGGTTGGGAAAACCGGGATCAGACCCAGTTCAGCTTCGGTCCCGTTGGCGATCAGACGGTTGATATTCGGCAGAGAGGTCTTGTATTGGTACCCAAACCGGAAGCCGTCTGAAGAGATCAGGAGAACCACCGGGTGGTTGAGCTTTTTTAGGGGGCGAGAATAAAACGACGAGGAATGGATTGTCGTTTTGGGGGCGGAGAAGAAGAGGAAGGCGAAGGCGACGGCGGCGGAGAGTGCAATGCAGGAGAGGAGGACGAGGGAGATGAAGACGATTGTTGTGGTGAGTTTGCGAGGGGATTTTGAGGAAGAAGAGTCTGTGTTGAAGGAGAGAAGAGCTGTCGTGGCTTTTGTTGGGTCGTCTTCTTGGATTGCGACTGGAGAATCGGAAGCCATGGCTAGAATGATTGTCGCTTTTGGGTGTTTGGGTTGTGGAAATTTGACGTTTTGGGATGTGGGTGTGGAGTGAAATGGAAGAAGAGTTTGGTAGAAGAAGATGAACCACGTGAAAAAAGACCACTTGGGGATGGGATCAGAGCTAAGCAATGGAGGGGTGACTGCAAAGTCCTGGTATTGGTGGAGACGATGATTGACTGTTTTGATGAGAAGCCTTGGTGTCGTTCATCTAAGGGGTGTGGAATTGAGAAATTTTGATGAAAGAGACCGGAAGAAAATAGAAATTGGGGATCTAGACCATTTTTTTTTTTTATAACAAAAAATTATTGACGTGTATCTTACATGTTAAAAAATGGACCCTATTTTAATCTATGTGTACATTTTAATTTTTTTTCTCTTAAAACTGAACAGACCCTCACCCCGATTGACTCTTTTTTTTTTCTTTTTCCTTCCATGCCCAGACCCCCTTTCCTCTCTCTCTCTCCTCTGGTTCTCACCGACCACCCCAACATTGAACGACCTTCCCCAAACGCTGACCGATCCTCATGAACACCGACTGACCATCCCGAACGCCGACCGACCCTCCAGAACTCCGACCAGACCAAGAACCGACCACCAGACCAAGAACCGACCACCAAACCAAGAACAAACCAAGAACCCACCACCAGACCAAGAACAGACCAATAACCGACCACCAAACCAAGAACCGACCACCAGACCAAGAACAAACCAAGAACCGACCACCAGACCAAGAACCGACCTCCAGACCAAGAAAAGACCAAGAACATACCAAGAACTGACCGACCAGACCAAGAACAGACCAAGAACAGACTACCAGACCAAGAACAGACCAATAACCAACCACCAGACCAAGAACAGACTAAGAACCGACCGACCAAACCAAAAACAGACCAATAACAAACTCTAATAAAACATACATTTTTACATATATTTTGATTTTTTGGGTATGAATAACCATTGTAATTTATAAAAGAGAAAAAAATTTGGTAAAAAAAGAAAAAACCAAGAACAGACCAAGAATCGACAACACTTAATCAAGAATAGACAATGATGTTTTTTTTTTTGGAAAGGTTCGAACTAATCCCGAAGATTGGAGAGACATTTAATTTATAAAAGATAAAAAATTTTGGTAAAAAAAGAAAAAATCAAGAACAGACTAAGAACCGACAACACTTGACCAAGAATAGAGAGTGATGTTTTTTTTTGGAAAGCTTCGAACTAGTCTCGAATATTGGAAAGACATTTAATTTATAAAAGAGAAAAAAAATTTGGTAAAAAAAGAAAAAATCAAGAACAGACCAAGAACTGACAACACTTTACCAAGAATAGACAGTGATGTTTTTTTTTTTTAGAAAGCTTCGAACTAGTCCCGAAGATTGGAGAGACATTTAATTTATAAAAGAGAAAAAAATTGGTAAAATATTAAAAAACCAAGAACTGACAACACTTGACCAAGAATAGATAATGATGTTGTTTTTTTTTTTTTTTGGAAAGCTTCGAACTAGTCCCGAAGATTGGAGAGATATTTAATTTATAAAAGAGAAAAAAAATTTGGTAAAATATTAAAAAACCAATAACAGACTAAGGACAGACCAAGAACAGACCAAAAACCGACAACACTTGACCAAGAATAGACAATGATGTTGTTTTTTTTTTTTTTAGAAAGCTTCGAACTAGTCCAAAAGATTGGAGAGACATTTAATTTATAAAAGAGAAAAAAAATTTGGTAAAAAAAGAAAAAACCAAGAACAGACCAAGAACAGAACAACACTAAACCAAAAATAGCCAGTGATGTGTTTTTTTTTTTTTTTGGAAAGCTTCAAACTAGCCCCGAAGATTGGAGAGACATTTAATTTATAAAAGAGAAAAAAAATTAGTAAAATATTAAAAAACCAAGAACAGACGAAGAACAGACCAAGAACCGACAACACTTGACCAATAATAGACAATGATGTTATTTTTTTTTTTTTTTGGAAAGCTTCGAACTAGTCCCGAAGATTGGAGAGATATTTAATTTATAAAAGAGAAAAAAAATTGGTAAAATATTAAAAAACCAAGAACAGACTTAGAACAGACCAAGAACTGACAACACTTGACCAATAATAGACAATGATGTTGTTTTTTTTTGTTTGAAAAGCTTCGAACTAGTCCCGAAGATTGGAGAGATATTTAATTTATAAAAGAGAAAAAAATTGGTAAAATATTAAAAAACCAAGAACAGACTAAGAACAGACCAAGAACTGACAACACTTGACCAGGAATAGCCAGTGATGTGTTTTTTTTTTTGGAAAGCTTCGAACTAGTCCCGAAGATTGGAGAGACATTTAATTTATAAAAGAGAAAAAAATTGGTAAAATATTAAAAAACCAAGAACAGACTAAGAACAGACCAAGAACTGACAACACTTGACCAGGAATAGCCAGTGATGTGTTTTTTTTTTTGGAAAGCTTCGAACTAGTCCCGAAGATTGGAGAGACATTTAATTTATAAAAGAGAAAAAAATTGGTAAAATATTAAAAAAACAAGAATAGACCAAGAACAGACCAAGAACCGACAACACTTGACCAATAATAGACAATGATGTTGTTTTTTTTTTTTTTTGGAAAGCTTCGAACTAGTCCCGAAGATTGGAGAGAGATTTAATTTATAAAAGAGAAAAAAAATTTGATAAAATATTAAAAAACCAAGAACAGACTAAGAACAGACCAAGAACAGACCAATAACCGACAACACTTGACCACGAATAGACAATGATGTTGTTTTTTTTTTTTTGGAAAGCTTCGAACTAGTCCAAAAGATTGGAGAGACATTTATATTATAAAAGAGAAAAAAAA